CAAATAAAATAAAAAGTAACGGAGTAGATACGGAATAATAAGCATCCGATCGTACCATCAAGCTGTTTAGTCTTCTGCGCACCCCATTTATAATCTACGAAGGTAACCATACAAATGCGCTAAGCCATGAATATTAAATGGACGAACCTAGAAAATAATGTTAGACGGCAGATTATCTTAGCTGGTGTAATGCGCTAGGAAGAAAAACCGGAAAAGAAAAAAAACATGTGTAAAAGATAGTAGGGAGTGATAGACTACGTTGGTGTATGCGAATATAAATGATGTTCTTTCATTTAAATTCAAAACACACCTATGGCAACCAATGAGATACGCAAGGAAAATTTTACATGTATATTTACTCTCAGATGATAACATTAATAATAAAATACTTACATACAAAAAAATGTATATATTAAATAAAAAATTTGCAAGCTCCTATATATATATATATATATATATATATATATATATATATATATATATATATATATACATACATTGTTATACTATTTGTGGTAGTTGGTTTTCTTTAAATATCCCTCTTCAATATCAACTATTAGCATTTCCTCAACAGCATACCGAATCGAAATAACAACATTAATAATATGGATTAAAAAATAAAATCGTAATGAAGAAATGTAAAATGGAAAATTAAGTCGGATTTCTTCGAATTGTTTATGATATTTTTAATAACATTTTTTTAATCAAAACTCAAAAATTATAAAAATAATTTTAATGTTAATAAAATTACTGATAAAACTTTTGTTATTCCTCACTTTAACTTAAACGTTTAACTTAAAGTTACACAATAAAACTTTTATCTATAATTCTGTTTGCTTACATATATACATATAATTTGACAAATTAATTCTCATTTCTTGCAAATAGTTATAAGATTTCAATTATATTAAGGCTTCGAAATTTATTCGAAATTAACACTATCCGTATATTTGCTCCAAATAATAATTAAATGTGGTGCTTCAAATTTTGATTATCAGGAGATTAAAATTTTCTAGAATATTCAAATAATAAAAGTATCAAATTCAAATCTGGATGCAGACTGATGGTGAACTTATAAAAATAAAATAGAGATATCCAGATAAAGAAACATGCATGTCTACAAAATGTCAGAAAGACATTTTATAAAAAAACCGCCTTTAAAATATGATATCAATATTTTTTTACCAATATTTTTTCAAGGAAAGAAGCCGATCCTTTCCGATGCGTCCATATTTTGCTTAGGTTCTGTCAAATCAGAACCTACAGAACATATTCAAATATTCTGCCGAACAGGACCTGCAAAAACATATCCAGTAATGAATTCCATTCACTACACCGGGTTAGTGCATACCAAATGCTAATATACATAAAATTATTGAAATATAAAAATATATAAACACTTCAAAATGATTACATAAATAACAATGAATTTGTCATTACTTAGCTGAATATGAATTAATAATTTCATTATTGAGGAAGTGATATTATGCTACTACATTTAGATATTTCATTTATGTAGCAATCTTTAATGTGCACTAACCTGGTGTAGTGTAGTGAACGGAATTCGCTACAGGTGATAGATCGACGGTAAAAATCAAGAGCAGAGCTTGCTGAGCAAACTCTAACTTCTAAGTTGCTTCTAACATTCGCTCGACTAATCGGTAACGCGGACAATCGAGTGTCACTCGAAAACAACTGCTGGTGAGTATCAATTGGTAATGTGGCACATCTGCAAAGCCGACTTGTGGTAACAATTAAGGCAATTTATTCGCAACGATCGATAATTCTCTATCCATGGATACATCGTTCGAGCTGTGGACTGCTGCCGTCAGATGTCATTACGCGTGGCTCGTGGAACCGGTGCCACCGCCCTTCATGCACGTCGCGCCCTCGTCGTAGACCGGCCCTACGTCGCGGCGCGATCGCGAGCAACGAGAGACTGAACGGAGTGGAACGTAGCGCAGCGCAGCGCAGTGCAACGCGGTGCAACGCAACGTAACGCGACGCGACGCGACGCAAAATAACGTAACAGAACGTAACATAATGTCCATCCCTGGGTGATTGAGCACCACTGGGCGTGTCGCGTAATTCGCGAATCGCGATCTTGGCGGAGACGTCAGTCGGCGGTCGTCCATCGTACTCGGGAGTGTCGCGCGTGTGTACTTACATCGGTGTGTGTATATGTATATATATATATATATATACATATATGTGAGCACGCGTGTATATACGTGATGGCTCCGATTCGGGGCTCTCGTACGCGCTCGATGGTTGAGCATCGTCGCGCACACGTCGCCGCACCTACGACGTCGGGCGGCGCCGCGAGATCGGCGAGCAGCAGCACCACCGTCCATTAACGACGACGCGATCGTCTCGTCGTGGTCGTCGTCGTCGTTGTCGTTGTTGTCGTCGCCGCCGCCGCGAAGGAGGAGGACACGATAGCGGTTGACGGAAGCGGCCGGCGGACGGACGGACGGACGGACGAGCACAGTGGTGTTGCCTCAGTGATCAATGAACTCTGGTTGACGCGTGTCGAGGTGTGCTGGCAACGGGGCGCACCAGCGACGGGGCCCGGCGAACGTACGTACGTACGAATAAATCCAGAGAATCCGATCTCTCCTGGATTCCCTCCTCCTGTGTCCCTGTGCGCTCCTCTTCCTCTTTGCTCTTCTCTCCCCTCGTCCCGCGGTTTATTCTCGATACGATATGCATGAGAGCATCCGAACATTTTCTCTGGGATGAGAGAAGAAGCGCGCGAAAAAAAAGAAAAACGCTCGGTCCTTCCTCACGACGACACTTATCGCGGCTACCATTTTTCGGTATATATGCCGCGTCGGAGAGGAGCTCGCAATTATCACATTGAACATTTACGCGGGCGACGGTGTGCCCATACGCGCGAAACCGAAGCGCGGGGAACGAGCCGCGTGCACGCATTAAACACGCATCCCTCTCCCCCCCCCTCCCCGCCGCCTCCTCCGCATCCTCCCACGTTTGATTTTCTCGCCGTAGGTCGGATCGCGAGATCGTCTTCCAGCCCTTTCGTCCCTCGATTCCAATTCTCTCAATTGGCCCGCTCCCTTGACTCTCGCTCGCTCGCTCGCTCGCTCGTTCGCTCGCGTGTGATCGCAATTTCAGATCCGACAATCGCGCGCGGTTGAGCTAGGGATTGGCATCGATAAAAGTAACACCGATGTTCACGAGGAACATGAGGTTAACGGTTAACGTCGATGTTATTTGTTTACAATGAAGCTATTTTAATTTTTAACGTAGCAAATCTATTAGAAAATCAATTTTATCAACAGATATATGTTTATTTTAAATGTTTAATAAAAAAAGAATTTCGGGAAATTAAAATATGTAATAATGTAATTCAGTAAATAACTTATTAAAAACAGATAATACATAATATTTTAATATAATGATACTGAAATGGATATAACAGTGTTTAAAGTTTAAAATCGCTGTAAATCGCATTTGTCGTACATAAAATGTTGTACATAATATAAATTTAATTTAATAAAACTAGAATATTCAAAGAACAATTATTCCGACGAAAAGAATCCTCTGTCAGATCATTTCCTTTAAATCTAACAAATCCAAGAGAAACTATTCTGTTCTATGACAGAAATATCGATATAATGCAACTTGGAACATCAATAACAAAATATCGAAATGTATTTGAATGAGATATTTCAGATTTCTATTCAAATCAATTTTCTAAACATTAAGTATATAGGTTGCAGCGTTATAAAAGATTTTTGTAAATAATTATATAATTAAAAAGATGCGATTACAGACACTTTAAGAAAAATGTTCGAAATTCGATTCGGATACAAATGTAATGTGTTTTTTGTAGTTTTGAACTAATGTACACTCATACTTAAAATGTATATTTGAAGTTTGATAAAAAATTTTAATGCAGCCTGGTGTAGAAACAAAAAAAACAAACCTATACGTTGAATAACAAGATATAGGTACAATGACTTTTGAAATGTATCTAGATACATTTCTAAATATAAATATTATTTTCCAAGAATTTGATAAGCTTATACTTATCTCAAATACAAATAGTTCTAAGACATTATTAACTAATCAAATATTCGTATTAACATTTAGATGCTTAATATGATCCTTAAGGGAGTGCTGAACTGAGCGAATTTCAACGAGAGTTCACACGTTGCACATCCAACATACGTAGATATATTTATGTATGTTTACTCATGCATACATACATTTCTGCACACATACGAATAAATTTTCGTATTGACTTTCTGTATCATTTATTATCTAGTCTAATTCTAAGACCTTAACGTTGTTTCTTCACGTTGTAATCTTCTGGTCTGGCAATATCAGTTTTGCAAAATTTTTATATAAAGCAAATATTGTCACTTCTGGATACCATATTAAAGTATCAAATGGTAAAAAGAATTTAAATTATAAAAATTTTTCTCGCTTTTCATACGAAATTCAAATGTTAGATATATGTATTAATGCATAAACTTTAATTGTGAAGAAGGATTTTCATATCTATAAAATTAATACAAAATTAAATCGATATAAAAATATATCGCATTCTGTCAGTAATACAGACAAGTTCAGCATCCTCTTAAAAACGGATTGTGAATACCACCCATAGATATGGAAATGATAGTGCATAAAATAATAATTTTTATTCGCGCTTTGTGTTGTTAGAATATATTTAATGATAAAAGTTGAGAAACAACAAAGAGTATCAAAAGGAACGAAGATGCACCCTTTGGAGAAATTATTTCAAAATTCTAAAGCAATATCTTATATAAAATACAAAAAGAAATGTAACTTACAAGTACTTGTGTAGTATTACGGATATTGGATTAAAAAAATTTAGCTAATTATACAAATACACAAGAAGTATTTAGATAATATAATTAAAGCGACATTCCAAAACGTTCATTTTCGAGGAAAATTTTACTCCTTAATTGTTTTACCAAAACTTTACAAATATTGATAATTGGTCTCTTGTCCATCCGAAAGACCTATTTTAAATTTTAATTAGATATGTTAAATTTTAAAAGGGAAATTTTAGTAATGGAGCAATAATGAGGCCAATGAGAATCTGAGTGCTGTAAACAGCGCGCAATTATACGTTTAATCTGAACTATGTTTATTAATAAAAGGTGCCGAGCGTTTCGACTCGAATCTGAATCAGAGAAATTTTAATTTCTCGAAGAAAAGACTTGGGAACGTAACCTAGAGCGTTGTATCGCCGCTAGATTGATCGCACAAGAAGACGCGAGGCTCGTGGCTGACGATACCGGGACGAGGAAACGACGGGATATTCCGCATGTGATTTCTAATACCGCGCGACTCATCGCAGCGCGTTATATAAACGCGTCGCACACCGTCGCTCACCGTCGCTCTCCGCGATGACTGGCGCAGATCACTGCAGTGACTGTTACGAGTTACGTATATATCTTGCCCAGTGTATCCGCAATGGGCGAGTCGTGCAAATGAAATCACGCCTTTAAAAGGAACATGTACGTGCCGTGCGATAAAAAGCCGAAAAGCGGGAGCTAGAGGCGCGGAAATGAGAGAGAGAGAGAGAGCGAGATCCCGCGTGTGCTCCACTTTGCAGGAGCAAAGTTGGCCCGGATCCTCCTCTCTTTCCTCGTTTCTGAAACGTCTTACGTCTTTTTTACATGTACGCTCTATCTAGAAACGGTACGGACAGAAGTTGAGGAATAAGATATGTGTTTATCAGACTGCTCCTCGCCCTGTGATGTGGCGAGCCGCAATGTTCACGTTGACATTTAACAACGTGACACAGATAACGTCCGTAAATGTATTAACCTTTTTAGGAAGGAAGCAATCGTGGAAACCTCAAAAATGCGTTATTTTAATACCGAGAGAAGTTGAACGATGATTTTGCTTTTCTATCTTTCAAACGTTCAATCATGCTTGTTTTATTCTCTTGATATCCTGCTCTTACGAGTACCTAAAGTCCGTTTCCATAGACAATCTTTTGAGTTTTCTCTCGCAACAATGTTGTATATAGGAAAAAAAATGTAAGCGAATTGGCCAATTACAGTTGAGAATTGTTAAAAATATAAAATTATTAACTTTAAAGTTCTTAGCTGTGATTGACTCTCTTGGTTATTATTTAAATTTATTATTTATGTGTATTTTTTGATATTTTCTAATTGTTGTAAACAACACTCTATTTATATTTTTCTAAATGTCATCAGCCTTAAACATTTAATTTATCGTTTGTATCATCCTAGTTATTTTTTTTTTTTTTTTTCTGTAATTGATTATTCATAGCAGATTAATTTTTCCCGGCTCAATTTTTAAATCACGGAATATCTAAACGTGATGATTTCTTGATATCTATCATGGTTTTTTTACATTACAGATGATGACATAATACAGACATAATTGACTGTCTCTCTTTGAGAAAACACGCATTAAACGATCGCTCCGTAAAACAGAGTGAGTGAATGACTCAAGATGAATGATATAGAAAGTTTTGGCATGAAGGGAATCGGCTCAAAAATGCCCCACAGTCATTCGACGCCGGCTGGCGTGGACGGAGGTAGTAGAACACCACCCGCAACACCGCGAAAAGCTGGAAAGATGCTAGCGGTTCGTGTACAAATGTTGGATGACTCTATTACAATGTTTCAAGTGCAGGTAAAGAATATATATATATCATTCCCGAATAATTTCCTTCATATTTCAACTGTTTGCGACAATAACTTGCCGAGACACAAAGAAAGTTACAAAGCTCGATAATAATAATAATAATTTTATTTAATGCAAATAGTTAAGAAATATAATAAGTGAAAGCAATAAGAGATTCAGATATCTGCAAATAATAGATGAGATTACAGCTCAAGTGTCGTGATGCCTAACTCGAATAATAGAATTAAAGTAAATGTTTATGGTAATACAATAAAATTGTAATAATCTAAATTATCAGATACGCATAAAAATAGCGAATATTGATCAAAATTTATAAAAAAAATATTTCTATATAACAAATAAATAAATTTAAATTGCAAAAAAGTTAAAGTATAAATAAAATAATATATATATTTATATTTAATTTATATATAATATATATAATATATATATATTTAATTTAGAGTTTATATTATCTAGAGTTTTTAACATTTTTGTGAAAGAATATATTTATAAATATATAATATTTTTTCTAATGCATGACGAAAATTTTTAGTTACAAATACTTTCTTAATTAATGATAAAAAAGCAAAAATAATATTTATAAGATTTTGAGTTACTATAGATATCGAATAACTTAAACATTAAAGAAACAATTCAAATTGCTTTTCATCCTGATGAAGTAAATTACAATGTTCATGAATTAACAATGTCACGACACTGTGATAACTCGCAAATCCTACATAATTGATATCCTACATAATTTTGAAAGAAATATTCGTGTGAAAACATTACAATATTATTAAAGATATCTATGTGAAATATAAAAACAATCAATTTTATATATATATATAAAAAACAATTTAAAAATTTTAAATATGTATTCTATATTAGTGTTGCAATATTTCTTTCCATAAGAATCAATTTAAGATTAGGTAATTTTCAAACATTACGTACTGATATTACAAAAAATTGTGTTCAGTTTTTATGCAAATATTCAAAAAGGCAGTAGAACAATTTACAAAATTTTTATGTTATTGTCAATTATGTTTTGACATATGATGCATACAATCCTATTTTCTTTTTACTAATAGAGTTTCAGAGTTTTTTTGAAACACAAAGTTTTGAATTTGCTCTTCTTAAAATATCTTTTATATTGTGTTTTTATAGAAAAATAAAAACACAAGAGTTTTTGTGTAAGGTCATGATGAAACTCATAAATAAATATAAGCTAAGAATATTCTGTGCTCTTGCTCTTCGCATGGCATAGGATGTTTTTGTCTGACACCTTCGTATGCATTGTTTATATAAAATGTACGAACTGTATGTGGAAATACTTACTTCTATTATTTATAAAAGATTATTTATAAAAGCTTTCTTGTACTCTATAGAAACTGTCGCAATAAGTGTTCTACAATGACATTGAATGATACTTGAATATCTTATTGTACCTTCATAATTCTACATTATACGTCAATTGAATGTGTGTTCCCCCGTTATTGCACTCGCGCGTATAAACTGCTACTTGTCTGTGTCGTGTGCATCCATGTGTGTTTATGTATTAAAATGTCATTAAATAATCTTTCCGAGTTCACATTTCTCTGCCTTTGATATAATCTACTCTTCCGTAAACCATATATATTATTTAATGGTTTTTTATTGTATTGTGCGTTTGTCACTTTTATATAAACTTAAACTTGTAATCGTTCATCTCTTTTATTTTATATAATCAAGAAGTCTGCATATGTGCATTAATTCTATCATCTTATATTTACTGTTAAGCATGTTAAACTATTTACTTCATGTATCTAGGTCAAGTGTCATTGATTACAAAGCCTCTTAGAATCTTCTTCATGAAGTTCTTTAGTTTAAAATTCCGATACCCAAGACTTTCATTCTTTTAATCGTTTTTATAATACATCTTTCAATTATGTCAAAAAATTGTATATTTACAATTTTGATATTGTGAGATTTTTTTAAGTCATCATATTTATGTTAAAGCGTAAATAAACTGGACTTGTATTTCCTAAAAGTTTCCAAAAGAATCTATTTAGACTCGATCTTGATAATCGAGATATTTCGTTATGTACATTTGAAAAATTTTATTGAATTATTATATATTTTTATATTGACAAAGTACTTAGCACATACGTTGTATAGAGTGTGCATATACTTCCAGAAGAATGAGCTATTGGAGCATATAATGTATGAAATGGGGGATATCCTTGAATGTGTGTGAAATATGTATATTCATTTATTGATTATTTATTTACAATGTGCTTGCAACGTGTTGGTTATTTCTTTAGAGAATAATTGTGTCTCAACATCTTACCTTTACTGATTTATAATAAGGGTATAATAAGATTATCGGGCGCATCTATAGCATTTCAATTACATTTTCAATTGACATATTTTGTGCGACAATTATTTATAGATATATAATGTAGTAGAGTGTCAATATTTTGTAATTCAATTTAATTGTAACAAAGCTTATGATAGTCCTATCACATTTTGTAAATTTTATTGTTTAAATATTTCAGGCCAAAGCACTAGGTAGAGTGTTATTTGATCAAGTTTGTAAACAATTGCATCTCTTAGAAGCGGATTATTTTGGTCTTGAGTATCAAGAGCCAAATTTGACAAAAGTAAGATGTGATTCTTAATGCAAATAATATTTCTTTGTTGAAGAATAAAATTAAAAAAATTGATATTTACAGTATTGGTTGGATTTGGAGAAACCAGTGTGCAGACAAGTTGGCTTGTCTCTTATCGATCCGCTATTGAGGTTCTGTGTTAAATTTTATACACCAGATCCTGCACAGCTTGAGGAGGAGTTTACAAGATATTTATTCTGTCTACAAATCAAACGGGATTTAGCTCAAGGTTTACTGCAATGCAATGATAACACAGCAGCATTGATGGCCAGTTATATTGTTCAGGGTAATTATAATTATATATTGTCGTCCCTTTTATTAGTTTTAAATACAAGTTTAACAAATTGTATCAATTCAATAATTGTTTTATATATTTTGATTTCGTTATTATTTTGTTCAATAAAGATTTGCGATCCACGTTTTTGATCATTAATTTCTTCTTTGTAGCTGAATGCGGGGATTATGTGATAGAAGACTATCCAGATCATACATATTTATCAACATATAAATTTGTGCCTCATCAGGATCAAGAATTGGAACGACGTATTATGGAGAATCACAAGAAACATGCGTAAGAAATATATATTTTATTATATATTATATTTTGTTAAATGAATAATTTTCTATTAATGCTGATTTGTATATCTATTATTTTAATGTTAACAGAGGTCAATCCCCTGCAGAAGCAGATCTCAATCTCTTAGAAACAGCTCGGCGTTGCGAACTATATGGAATGAAAATGCATCCTGCTAAGGTATGCGAGATTAAAAGATTTAATAAAAAAAATTATTCTTGTGTTGCAACACTTGCGTATTAAAATATTTTATATATCTTTGGCTTTTTTTATATTAGGATCATGAAAATGTTCCATTAAATCTCGCAGTGGCACATATGGGCATTGTAGTTTTTCAAAATTACACTAAGATAAATACATTTAGTTGGGCCAAAATCAGAAAAATCAGTTTTAAACGAAAACGTTTTTTAATCAAATTGCATCCTGAGGGTTACGTAAGTATTTAAAATATCTACTACTTAAAATTAATTTTTTCACATTAAATTAATTTAATTCACATTTAATTAATTTATTGAACATAATATTTTGTTTTTATCACAATCATGTAATCATTTCACGTTTTGATTATAGGGATATTACAAGGATACGGTCGAATTTTTCTTTGAGGGACGTAATGAATGTAAAAATTTTTGGAAAAAATGTGTAGAAAATCATGGTTTTTTCCGTTGCTCTGTAGTTAAGAGAGTTGTAAGACAGAAAACTAGAGTGCTTAGCCGTGGATCATCGTTCAGGTAATGTCAAATTATCTCCAAGAGAATTATATTTCTTAAAAAAAAAGTTAACGTCTAATTTTTAATATACAAAATATTAAATAAATATAAATATCATATATTTAAATATTTAATTTTTAAAACATAATTATAAGCTCATTAATAAACATAGTGTTGTGTGAATATATGTGTTTGTATGTATGCGGGTGTGCATATGTGTGCATGTGTGCGTGTATGTTGTATGTATACATATATGAAATATCTCTACATTATTGTGCACTTATATTACTAGGTATAGCGGCAAAACTCAAAAACAAATTGTTGAATTTGTTCGAGATAATTATGTGAAGAGGCAGACATTTCAAAGGTAAGTCTTTCAAAGGATTGATAAGTTTGGAATAATTAAAAGTGTTCTTGGACACCTATGTAATATGTAGATAGTGCATGCAGACCATTGCGTACTGTTTCCCTAATGTTAGTTTGTACTATTGAGATTTTTATTAATGAACGCACCAAATTTGTGGATAAAATAGGAGGTGGCACGGTCTTGCTTTTGCCGGGATACAAGTCGGTATTTATATATTCATATATATACGTACATACATACGTACATATATGCATACATACATACATATGTACACATATATATATATATATATATATACATATGCACATATGTATGCATGTATGTCCCTTTTGTATGTTTACATGTATGTATGTATGTATGTATTATCCAAACGTTTCCAATTTCCACGGAAACCATTTACTATCTCCACTTTTATATTTCCGTTTGTCAGTGTTGCCTGCTCGGACAGGGGTGGCGGGGAGTCAGGCTCACCATCAGGCACGATAAACCCGAATGATGAGTGTACCCTCTCTCAATAGCGTGATCACTAATTATTTATTGTTGTATTTAATAATACACAGCAAAGTACTATATATTTCACTGCCCTAACAATTCTATCCAACAAGATATTTGTCCATAGCAGTAGATTGTTCTTTAAAATAGAAGATAGTCTATTATTAATGCAATCGAAGAAAGGAAAAAAAATTATTTTTGTATATACCGCCAGCAGATTTTCATTTGCTGTGCGATATCGATGCACGGTTAAGAAACACCTTCGTACATATAATCGAAGTACCAACTAATAAAAGGACTAATGTATATATTTATATATAAAACACACAAAAATTTATTTACACATCTATAAATAAGTTAAAATATTTGATATTTTTATATGTATCAGATCAGATTACGTATCAGATATCAGATTGCTAAAGACAGATTTATGTGCATTGAAGTATTTTTATATATATATTTTGTTTCTAGATTTTCATCTTAAGAGTAATAATTATAGATTGTACGAAAATCAAATAGAATAAAATATGAATTTTTTATTATCTATGTACAATTATCTACAAGTATAAAAATTGAATGCAAAATCTAAATAGGATATTGAGTTTTATTTTAAAAGTGCACTCTTATTTATACTCATTTATGCTTTGGAACACGCAAGATATTTCTCTTGTGTATATAATTATATACACAATATAATTACTGCACGTATGCCCATTTGTAAACGCGCAAATAAAGTTTCTTATATTAATTAATGTTTCCGAATATATTCTATGATATTTAAAAGTAGGACAGCTCTCTTTTACAATTTTGTATTTCATTAAAAATAATGGCTGTCTTTTCATTTTGTTCCCAAATTCTAGTAAGTCACAGTTTTCGATTGCACTCGCGATATCGCACATAATTTTCATGTTGATTTACCTATACTTATACATATACTTATATATACATATATATATATATATATATATTTATATAAAATTGCGGGGGTGTGT